CGTGGACGTATATTATACGTTACATGTATACGCGTATATTTTTGTATCCGAATGAACAAATTCCCATCAAGTAACCTCTCTGAACTCGTGTGGATGGTTCCTAAAGTACATTGAGCGCTTTTTCACATGGTCATTTCTGGATCGAACGCCTGAATGGCAAAAAGAGAGAATAATATTTTCAGTATACCATGTAACCTATTTGATCTTCGCCTTCATCTCAACAGTGTGGATCCACAAGAAGTATGATACCTCATCATTGACCAATGCAGGATGTCAACCGTTTGCACTGAAACAGCCACCAGCCTTTCTATTTTACTTTATGCGTACTCAATGTGGGAAGAGCACTTGTGGGAAGACGAGAGTGCTTTRTYAAGTGTCTCGCRCATGATCAGTTTGCTCCATTTTTCCCAAAACTTTTTTATGACCATTTTTCCAAGAATTCTAACGGTTTTGAGTTTCAAATTAGTTTCGGGGTTTTTGAATTCGTTCAACAAACGAGCAGGAGTGCTATCTTTTATCTGTATCTTCGGCTCGAATCTTTATACCCGATAAAACACTCCTGTTTGTTTATTGAACAGTACATAAGGCGGATTTCAGAGTGGTGGATTCCGGATTCCAAAACCACAAATTTCGTGGATTGCGGATTACCTTACATGGGGCGACAAGTTCACACATGTGAACGACTTTGAAATCGTGTACTGTAAAAAGTCTGTCCGAAAGTGAAAAACAAGAAAATGTAAAAAACGAGCGTTAGGCGAGCATAAYCACAGCAAAAAGAAAAGAACAAAGAAAAATCACTACCAAGAGGCAAGCCTTTGTTTTATTTATGCGTTTTTTAATATTTCTATTTTTCAAGAGCTTTGTACAATCTAGTCCCAATTGCCGAGTTTTTCAAAGCGCAACAAGCTAACACCATGATAATATATCTTATATATTACTGTTTTATTCTTAATGCATTGAATATTCGGAATATTAGTCATAAATTAACGAATCCCAGCCCACGTGGAGCTAATAGAAACTAGCCCTCAAGATTGTTAAGGACGTTGGCCTATATAGTACAGCCTTATATGATACATTCTACTTCTTGTCACTTATGACATATTCAGTAAAGTCTAACAAATGTGGATGAGTCATTGTTGTAGGGCTTATTTGAGGTGTTTTTCCGACAGACGCTGGTGGACTGCAAGGAACTGGAATTTCTGCTTTACCACGAAGTCGTTTGATTTGACGAAGTCTTTCCAGCCAGTTGCACCCATATGCATCAGTAGTTCGCTTTAAACTCTGATTTAGGACAGACGCCATCTAAAGAGAAGAGACTGAAATTACTACTAACTAGGAAAATGCTTTAGCTGTTGTGTATACACACACCTTAGAGTAGGCCATGCRTTGAAACACAGATATAAAAAATATTGGATCACAAAATACAATCAAATATTRACAGCATGCCATATCTGAGATAACCAATTTCTTTGGTTGATTTAGCTAGGAAGTATTTACAGTGTGGAACGAAAAATACATCAGAAAACTACATAAAGAACTCACATTGATATGGATAGCAAGTTGTCTAACAAGCATGGAGAGATTGATGTCTGATATAACACGTGGACCTGTATCCACTGACAGGTTTTTTAACTCTTCTTTGAACCTGACTGTAACGACATTACACTCGTTATCCAGAGGCTTAATCACCAACTCAGCAAAGTTGAACTGACCCTGRAATGAAAAATTAACGTTTCGTTAACAAGGAAACAGGCACAAGTTGTCCTTACCGGATCATCCGCTCACCTTGATAGTACCAAAAGCAACATTTTCTTCTGAATCATTGTAGACGATTGTTACAAAATCATTTCCAATATGCATTTTTTTGGAGTTGCAACCAGGATCAGAGTCTTTGGTTGGCATCAATGTAGCAACATGGAATATAACTATAAAAATAAACAAATGTGATTTAACCAGAGGAAACACTTTCGTTAGGGATGTATTCCACATAATCAGTTATGAAAAAAGTGAACTGAGCTTTCCAGGTAAAAAGGGTGAATACAGTTGAGGGCATCGAACATAAACCAAAAAGGTTACAAACCGCAAAGGGTTAGTTTCAAACGCCAAAATGACATCATACCCATCTTCTTATCCTGTTTTTAAAGGATAAATCAAAATATAGATATAACCCGAAAATTCATGAAATTGCAAAATTGATAAATAGCGTTACGAACGTCAAGTTTTAGTTAAAAGTTTGTGATTGGTTAATTTGTTTTGTCTCTTTGGGCTTGTCATGGGGAGCGTTTGTTGGGAATGGGATATTCCTTCTTGATCTAACCATTTACAGGAGRATACGACATGGGAACATCTAACTTTTAAGAGAGAAAAAAGAATCACCAGTTTTGATATTCAACCAATCAGAAAGCAACTCTCAACAACAGATCCTTTACAAAACAAAGCAAACGATCGCAAAGGCTAAAACCTTCAGTAGGGGTCCATTTCTGCAAAACAGTCCTGTGCTCATTGCTGTCGGTTTAAGCAATCAATAGTTCCTAACAAGACTGGAACGTTTTGAACGAATTTATCAACTACAAACCTTGGCATATACTATCCTGCCAGCTGTATGCAAATTCACCATCTCCTCCTTCTCGGTCCAGGCCTCCTGTATAAATCTCGTCTGGAGGAGAGTCATTTAGCCGTATGAGTTGTCCCAAACCTGCGATGAATTTCATGTAGCGTGTTGAACCGTACACGTTTCTGAGTATTGCTGTTTCGTTGTTGTGCTGTTCAGGGCCAACATAAATAACGCCTATCTTGTGTGTATCATACGGAGGGATACGATCCAGACACTTGATAGCTCGCTCCAACACCTATAGAGAAACAGGTTGTGTTGAGCATTGATGTGGATTCAACAMAGATGCTATTTTCAAGAGGCCAATTAAACAGTTCTATATATTTATCGGYAATCCTGTAACATGCGATTCTCTCACCTCTCCTTCACGTAGCGGTATAGGTTTGTCTTGTGAAGATGCATAAAAAGATGTATGATAAAGCTGAAGGAAGACGAAGTTAGGATCCAAGGGAGATCGATACGACTCCGACGTAGAAACAAATTTTTGTGGTTCTCTGCTAGCTTCGTTGCTKTCTTTACTCGGTGTAACAAGTGTCATACTTGGTCTAGGTCCGACATCTCCTTTACTTGTTTCTCCACTGATGATCTTTGAGCCTGTTAAAGAAACAATCGAACCAATCGTGCAATTGYCAATCGATTGTTCAAACACTAAGGAGTACATGCTTCACTAAGGATTGTGCACACCAAAGGGCCACAGATTGACAAGAACACATTGAAGAAAACGATAAACAATATTCTGGTGAACACAGACAATTGTATTAGACAATTCTGTTCCCTCTGTAAGTTAGAGATGATTGCAAATTAGAAATGAAACTTCATRAAAACTTTACACATATTTTATGCTATGTAGAAAGTATTGGAAAGATAGTYGGCCAGTCTCTTTACCGAAATTTGAGGACATTTGACGCAAATCCAGCATACTAACCTCCACTCAAAGTAGGCGAGGAAAGATCGGGTGAAGACGAACTCTTGTTGACTTTTCCAAACGTACTCTGACCTAGCTGGTCATTACAAGTTTCGATTCCATGTAAGCTCTGTGTGTTTTTGGCACCRGCTCGATTCTTTCTTATCATTCTTGGTGAACTTAAACTAAAGGATTTTGTTAATTTTGTCTTGACTGGGATCCTTGGGCTGGACGTAGCAGATGAASAGTGTTGCTGCTCTTTATGTAAAATGTCTTTCAGTCTATGTGGTGTGACAGGACCTGATGTATTGCTACAAGTATGTGTAAGAGTTGAGTGGCTTATTTTCGGGTCTTTCTCTGAAGGGAGGAGCTCTAGCGATCTTGGGCGTGCACATTTTGACTTTGCTTCACTTTTCAATCTCATCTTTACAGGTTGCTCTTTAGGTTGAACCTCACCACCATCTAAACCAACAACCAAAAAACATTTGTATTACGAAGAAAAGGAATATCAGAAAGAAAATGCCCACAGAAAACTGACTTAAAAACCATCCTCTATTGACTATTTTAAAACGGACTAAGTTTAAAACCTTTATAATGTTGTGTAGTGTCCTTGTTGTCTCCACCAATGCCAATCGCTTTTGGATTTTCATCATTACTAGCAATCTAAAGTTARTTAAACAGTTATACAATTAAGTTAATTAAATTTATTTATTGAAATATCTAAGGCTTTTTCTTATGACGTTTGCTGTTATGGGTATCGTGTTGTACAGTAGTTCTCAAATTTCTCAAAATAATCTCAAATAACGCAAAGATATCCGCATGGAAGGATGTYAACCCAACGGTAGATGCAATCAATTTACAGTGTTCAAATAACATGAAGCATACCTGATACATCTCTGACGAGGTTAGATACGTGTTCTTATCAGAGGTCTTTAGATCTGACCTGGATGGRCTTAACACAGAGTCAAACTCTGCAGGAGATACACCTAACTCGGGCTTGAAAGAACAGTTTGTCATTATTATGAATATAACACTGGGAAGTACTGTTGCAATTTGATTCTGCTAGCGCACACGGTACAAGACAAAAAATATACAAAATAATGACACGCTATGCTAATTAAATGGATTACTAGAAGGCTAAAGACGCTAGTCCTGAAGGTGAACTGTTRAGTTCGAAAACGTTTGCATGACAACTTTAAATGTTGATATTTAGCCTTTTACTAATCCATTCATCAAATAGTTGCCGTTTTTCAATATTATGCTAATTCCATTGTGTTTTTTCGTCTCATGACCACGCCTGTGCAAAAAAGCTTGTCACCTTCTAAAGGTCGGTACAACAATATGTTGAAATGTACCTTCTACTGAGGCTAGATATTCTGAATTGCATGAGTTCAAATAACATGAGAATTGTATAAACTATATATTGTATAAACTAGTTGTTCATTGTTAGATGTCACTAGAGGTTAAACCTCCACATGGCAACATTATTTCACTTACTACCCCCCCCCCCCTATCATTACCGACTAACCTTTTCATACTGCAGTCTTCGTTTAGCTGAAGAGGATAAATCTGTTGCGAGAGCAGCAAATTAAAAGTCTTACCAAATTTTTTGTTCATACCGCAACATAACAGCATTACCGTAAAAAGTCAACAAAACAGAAAAACATTCCTTACCAACAGGTTGAGATTTAAGCTCAATTGTTTCTGAGCTTTCAGAATGGCGGGTCATCTGTAACCATAAAAGCATACTAGTAATAAACAACATCCTTTACCTATCAATAATCAGAGTGTACTTACACGAAAAGCATAGGGACCACGCTTAGGACTGTTGCTAAGCAATCTTGGTCTGTTGCTAAATGATTCATTTTCAGATTCMRCAGAGTCATATGTTGGTGAATTTATAGGCGTAAATTTGTCAAGAGATTGAATAGCTTTCGGGGAGTGCGAGTTGTCGTCTGATTCTTCTTCTGCTTGTTGAGGCTTTGAATGATCGTCGAGCGCCGTTGAGACCAAGTCATCATTTGTAGGCTGYGATACTGCACAGAACAAAACAAGTTACAAAAATTACTTAAAAACATCGATTACAGAAAGTGATCAATGTTTTGAGATTAAAAATCAAATAGTCTTGATCTTCTTTGTGGTTTGATAAACACTCTTAATACTGACTTTCACCATCATCAYTGCCTGATGCCTTCAAAATCCACTTACCAGGTAACTCRGCCTCTTTTGGATCAGTACTTAATTTTGACTGGTCGTCTTTCTTTATGACGTCAATCAAAAGAATTTCACTGTCTTTGCTTCTACTTAGAACYTCGTGACTTTTGGTCCGGATCTTGAGTGCTTCAGCTTCACCATCAGGAACAAGTAAATCTAATTAAAGTTCCAACAATCAAACTGAGATGTATAAAAAAATTATGGACGATGTGGAGAAATATACTGTCCGCGTTGTCTGTTCGACGAAAATTTTGTTCAATTCAAAAGACACACAAATACACTCAAAGAATTAAAATGAACTGGGACAAAATTTGGCTTCCTCTTAATCGACCCTATGACAAAGTAACAATTGACAATCTTTCGGAAAGTGGAAGTTCTTTGACAAGTACACCCATCCCAGCACGCTATAGTTAACTATGCACCACAAACAAGGGCAAAAGCTACACAAACAGCTGAAGAAGTACTTACACTCTTTGATATGGGGGTCATCTATAAGCGCAGTAGTAATATCTCCATCTGAATATCCAGCCATTTGTCCCTCGGGTCTATTCTGGATGCGTATGATCCAAGAAATATTACCAGTGGGACGTCTTATTTTGATTTCTGCCCATCCTTGACAAATGCAATGACATTCACCAGGGTGGTAGTCTAGATGAAAACCAACAAATAAAAAAGAATTAAAGACTYTTTTTGTAGAGATCTGAATAAAATGTTTTGGTGTTGGTTTTGACTGTCGGCAACTAAAGAAGAGCCACACCTTTTCAAGGGGGAAGGCTTATAGTCTAAAGCAGAGTGAATCAAAATGTAAGATGAGTAATTCTCCAGTTATACATGACTAAACTAGCAGTATCAACGTCAATTACATCAAAGTCTTTGAACTGAAATGACATACCATAGTTGTCTGTTACATATGCTTTCTGACTCTCAAGGGCAGGTGAGCACGGAATGTCATATGGTTCTGGAGTCTTTGATCGTTCAGGTACAGACGMACTTCCAGTGTTTTCTTCTTCACTTTTCTTGTACACTGTTGCATCTTCCATGACACTTTCTCTTTCTCGCCACCGTACTGGTGATAAAGTGGAGTTAAAAGATGCATTCCTGTCTGTTTTAGGTCTGTTTTGAAGTGGCAGACAGTTCTCGCAAGTCTTATCAAGGTCAATATATGTTCCTGATGTAGTGATTGACACGACCGAATTGCCAACGACCCACCTACGGGTAAGACCCTTTGACAGAAGGAAATCCATAGCTGCAGTCCTTGAATAGAATAACAGATAAAATCTATAGTCACCTTGTGCTTCAAAGAGAAAATATCCCGAGGAAATTTCGTGCAGAGGCAAAAATCTTTGAGACTATTCATCACTAAACAGCTCTATTCAAACGAAAACTGCTTTAAAAGTAACAATATAAAATACCTTTTTGGTTGAGAGAAACAGGTGGCAAACGAATACCTTGCCATCATATCCATGCACACTTCGCTCATCTCTTTATGGAACTCGTGGGCTGAATCTGTTTCTTTAAGCTGTAACGGGCTGACAGGAGAGGCTGATCGTGTGGTAGAATGTGCTGTTTGACTTGARCTACTACTGCGTGATCGTAATCCTATGGATGGACTATCAGCTCTGGAGTCATGACGTTCAGGTTTAATAATGTTTGTTTTTAAGCCCTTTCCAAGGAAAACATGAAGGGTTAGTTCTAAAGATTTAAGATAAGGTTCATACATTCTTACATATTCCCGTATATGTCTGAATAAGCAATGTCTTCAGATGGTGTGCAGTTTATTCAAAAATTACTTAATGCGAACAGCATTCTCACCTTTGCAATAAAACCAACAAAATCTTTCCGATATGGTAGCCGAGCACGCACAAACCACGCTGTGATCACGTGATAGGCCAATGTAACAGTATACTGCGAGTACCTGCACCAATGAAAATACTCCATTTATTATTTGTTTCCATTTACCTTGAATTAACTTCCGTAAACTGTACGTTACCTAAATGAGTCTGTGTATGGCAGGCAGATAGCAAACACACTTTTGTACTGATTCTCCTTAAAGCTTGCATACAAGTGAGGTAGATGCACAAGACCTTTACCCAAATACAGATTAGACAACAAATGAGAAAAATCATTGAACTAATCGACATTAGGTGACTAACTCACCTGATAGGAACTCTAGCATCGGCACGGCCATAGACACGGTSGCTGAGATTTGTGACAGCCGAACTAGAATGGCTGGAAGCAGACTGCAAATTAAAGAGATATTCATTATTCATTATACAGTGTTACCAGCACATGCTTCACTGTCTTCAAGTTACTGATACATCAATKTACARTTCTGGATTGCAAGCAGATRAGCAAGAATCCGCTAGGSCACTAAGAACAAAGCTACCGCCATCCCTTGATGAGGAATGACRSCCAAGACGGAATTGTAACATGMAAMAAARTYCAAAAACTTTCAAATGCTGACATGGTGCAGCATGAACATATTAAACATAAAACAATAATTGTAGTTCCAAKGAGAGTAAGAATCTTTTTCTTTATTTTCCAGAAGAAACTACCTTAACATCACAGTCATGTAATCACATGTCTATTGGTAAAGTTCAAGGTGCAAGTCAGTGAAGTCAAACAATCGCCCCTTCGGAMAAAGACCCAAAGTTGTAGATAGCAAACTGAACATAGCAATATAATAAACTAAACAGTCACATTTCTGACTAAAGTTAGAGAAGAGAGTATCTTTTGTTGTACCTATTCATGACAGGCTGCATTTCCATRGTGCATAATGTCAGTGATGAAACRCAAAGATTTGCACACTTCGATAAAAATCCAAGCTCAAGCGACCTTACCAGCTCACTCTATAAGACAAAAATGTATAGAATAGATTAAGTTTTAATATGTAAAGCTTATATTATGCAAAATAGGTGCTGTATTATGTTAATTCCTTCCTTTTCTATTCGGTTTCATTAACACCATCTAATTAATGATTAGTGCAGTTTCAATAAACCTGTGAAATACATTTTTGCATTGCTACATTCATACTCTTTTTACTGCAAATATTGCTTTATCATACAATGTATCATCCATAATTACACTTTGACTATAGATATCTTGCATAAGATGTCACAGCTGCTGTAACTGAAGGACAAAACAAAAGGTTTTTGCCCTATTGGGAACAAGAACTATTGMTTTGTTCTCCAGTTGGAGCTGAATTTCCATGAATTACAAGGTGTCCATTACTCTTTGTTTCACAGATTTAAAACCTTTCTTAGTACTACTTATTTCACTAATATCAAGTATACTCTAATAAAAGCAACAATAGTGGCAATTCACATAAAGACACAAATCAGTAATAATCACAGGAATGTGTAAATGTTCATATTATTACCATCTATAGTCTAAAAAAACTTAATTCAGTTGTAACATACCTGATGGGTTCTTCCAAGTTTGAAATGATAAGTTGCCAAAACTGTCAAAACCTAAAACAAACAAATAATAGTAATACTGACAAAAACTCACCCACAAACAACCATCAATGCACATAACTATAAATCACACATACATACAGAAGGAAAGACACTAAGATATTTTTAGCAAATAGAAGTCATTGAGATCCTTGACTTACTGGAAAGACTAATGCATGAAAACCTGTTCTACCAACTCCTCTAGGAACTTTTTGAAGATCCAGAACTGTTGCAGGATCAGACACCTAAAAAAACAAAAGGAAGAAACACAATTGATTAAAATAAAGAGTGACACAATATGTCATGTCAGTGGTCTATTTAAAAACAAGCCCGACTTTGTTGCGTACAATAAATATTCTACAATTAGCATTTTCTTTCATTCCGTATATGAGATCAGGTCAAATAACCAAGATTAATTTCCACCCTTGAACCTAACCAATTAAATTAAAATTTATCAACAATTGAAAGTGAGTGGAACATTTTCTAGCTTGAGAATAAAACGTCAAGTCTGTGAGAATAATAATTGTTCCTGTAGAAGGAATGGCCTGKGTGAAGATWATCATTTCCTTACCATTTTACATAGTACTGATGACATTTGTTTCAAACTTGGTTCCCCAGCTAAGACAAGAGTTTTGTTCTGTAGGACACTGGGAAGGCTGGAAAGAACGCCCTCTAGTACTGTCCAGTCCCACTCCTARAAATGACATGATATTATACTCAGACAAATACAAATGAGCAAAAAAGATGATACAATTTTGTATTAGAACTGAAACATACACTTGTTTGCATAAAACTGATGCCATTATATAAAATATTAAGCGCTGTATACATGTAACACAATTAACTAGATCAATTTGAGATTGATCACTTGGACTTTACTTTCAAACAGCTAGCAAATTGTTTCATTACCACAGTAAAAACTTAGATGCAACTACAGGAACATAATATGCAATAGAATAATATGGTAAGTTGAATAATTAACACCAAAAGAACTTACATATTGAAGGCAGTTAAGAATCAAATTGAAAGCATCTGAATATGGAATAACAGCAAGAGATCTGACTTTGGTTTCACTGCTACTGATGATTGCACTAGAAAAATAAATATCAAATAAACATATCATTCAAGTAAGACAAAAACACATTCATATGAATGATAAAACTTTATAAATATCATGAATTACCTTTCAGTACAAACAAAGTAATGACTGAATGTTTGATGATCTTCGGATCCATTTACAAATCCTAAACGATGACAGGTATCACAACGCATCGACAGAAAACACTCAAAAATCTAAAGAAAATTTATGTATTGATGATCAGTCTTAGTAATAAATAGTCAAACAATGAATAGTGTGGTCAATACATTAAAACATTGTCAATACTATAGCTCAATTATCATTCATACTTACAGGGCTTTACAGACTCTGAAAGTTAATAATCAAAATGATAGCCATAATGTACTTACAATATTCCTAAGAGCACTGGCTATRTTACTGTTATAACCATTGTAGTAATGGGCCCCTAAGTGAGTAACCAGAAGACTGAAMACCTGCTGTGCATGGCAGTGAGGAAGCCGGAACAGTTTGACCTAGTGCGATTTAAAAAAAAATCATCAACACTGACTAATTTTATGTAGGAGCTGGCACTTCATATTGGAATTTGAAATCTAACATGCATAAATTAAATCAAATTTACAACTAACTGATATATTGCATCTTTTTGTCAAGACACTAAAGTGAGTCCATGTCTATGGATGGTTTTCTTATCAAATTACTAAGTATGTACATAGTCTGCTTATTCTTCTTGTATTGACTTTTTCTGCTCTTTTATATAATTATTCTGTTTCATTATGTGTAACCTAGTGAAACATTAATCTATTTTATAATTATTTATTTTAATTACTTTCTTTATGTGAGTATTTCTAAAACACCATTTGAAAAAAGGAGGCTTCACCTTGAACACYTGGACTAGTCCACTAATTGCTGTCTTGATGTCCTTTAAAACATCTTCATCCTAATAAATAAAAAAGAGCAGCACATTTAGTGTATAATAAAGAAAGTTGATTTTGGCATTTGTTGTTGTCTACACACATCACAGGTCTGCTAATTATTTGTTGATGGAAATACCTCATTTTCTTGAGCAAGATTTGCTGATCCTTTTCCTGGAACCTCTACTCGTCTGCTGATGACCTGTAAGTAATCCGAACATTTTAATAATAAATAATGCTAAATGGAAATGTATTATCATAAGTGGTAGCCATCAATAATTTCTTTTTGTGGTCTGGACTTGACTCCTTGTAGAGCAGATTTCACACAACTATACAGAATTGGCACAGATCTGATCATGATATGCCACAATAATTAGCTGCACCTGGCAGTACCTCACAGTATGATTTCAGCATGTTTTCCACACATAGGAAATCTGCTCTTATTACAATTTATTCAGCAGCAGTTTACACCTGAAGAACATAACACCAAAGCCGACTTGATATACACACACTGCATTGACCATTTTTCTTACATCTTTTATAATATTCAGTATGTCTGTACATTTGGAGGAGTCACATGTCTGAGACAGGTCAAGAAGCAGGTGAAGGACAGCAATTCTCACAGTAACATCAGGGTCATTAGCAATGGTRCGAAGAAATGGTAATACAGCTTTATCCAGCAATTCTTCCTATTAAAATAATCATTTTTTGAATAAATGGAAGTCAGTCAAATGATGAGCTTTAAGAGCAACATCAAACTATCAACCAGATCGAGCAATGTACATGAAAATGCTGACATCTGTACAAAGAGTAATAAATAATGAAGCATGCTAAGTCAACAGCATCTGTTTGTAACTCTG